CTCTGACAATAATAATTCGTCCAATTGACTTCGATAATAGTGTCGTTCCTGTATAATTCAAAAAAATATTTATTAGAAAAGATGATTGTAAAAAATACTATTGTTATATTCCGAAGCTCGGTAGTACTCGGTATTGCTCGGTATTGATATAGCAATACTCGGTATTGCTTAGTAAAAAATACTATTGTTATATTCCGAAGCTCGGTACTACTCGGTATCACGCGATACTACTTGGTATTGATATAGTTCCGAGTATGTTTAATGTAATACCGAGTAGTACCGATCAGTATAGCTCGGTACTACTCGGTATTACTCGGTATTCATATTGTACCGAGTATGTTTAATGTAATACCGAGTAGTACCGATCAGTATAGCTCGGTACTACTCAGTATTACTCGGTATTCATATAGTACGAGTATGTTTAATGTAATACCGAGTAGTACCGATCAGTATAGCTCGATACTACTCGGTATTCATCGGTATAAGATCATTACTCACTTATCCTTAAATTGTTTCAGGCAATTATCAATAAACAGCCGTTTATCTTCACTAAGTAATGATCTGCCCGGGTAATCTAAGTATTCAGGTGCAGGTTTCAATGGTATTTCTTTAGAATCATCATAGATTTTTCAGTAGTTGGAGATGGTTCAGTCGTAGTAGTTGGTGCTGGTTTAGTAGTAGTTTCAGGTGCCGCTTGAAGTTCACTTCTTGAAGTTGGACCAGGTTCTGGTGCCGTTGTATCAGGTGCTGGTGCAAGTTCTTTTTCAGTAGTTGGAGACGGTTCAGTCGTAGTTGGTGGTGCTAGTTCACTTGTAGAAGTTGGATCAGTTTCAGTTGGAGGAGGTGCTACTGCAGTTGTATCACTTGAAATTGATTGACCAAACTTCTCTTTGGAACCCAAATTTACTTTAATCTTCTTCCTGTGACCCGTTGTAAATGGTGTTGATACAACTTTTATCTTTCTATCATTTCTCTTTCGAACTCTTTTTGCAATGCCAGTTAAAGGTGGTTCAGCAACAGTCACAGGAGAAGTAGGAGCAGCTGGTTGAGGCTCAGGAATATGTGTAGGAGCTGGTGAAACAACTTCACAAAGTTCAGGCGATTGGGACGGAACATCACTGGGAATTGTCTCACTTAACTTGTCTTTGGATGATAAATCTGTTTTTGTTTTTTTCTTCCTATCACCGGTTGTAAAAGGGGTTGAAACAACTTTTCGCTTTCTATCATTTCTTAGGTGAACTCTTCTTCCTATGCCGGTTTCAGCAAATGGATCAAATTCCTCATCTTCACTCAATCTGGCCTCCTCATAAACAATTTTCTCAGATTTTGTACCAGATGAGGAAGATTCAGCGGACATTTCTTTCTTGTAAGTTTTAATATATGAAGGGAATTGATCTTTGAAGAACCGCAACATAACACGGTCTTTTCTGTTGATCTCCTCTTTCAAATCATAATTCTCTGCTTTCAACTCCACTATACACTGCTCCAAGTTCAATAAACGATTTACAAGTAATGTATTTGTTGCTTCCACCGAAGCAACTTTTTTCTTCATATATTTGTTTTTGTTAAAAAGCTTGTAAATAGCTTGATTTAATATCCTGATGTTTGTTTCATCTCTTATTGGCCTTGATTCTGGGGGAGTATGTATGCTCAGAAGAATCAATTTTAGTTAGGCTTGCCACCCTGATCGGACTTTGTTGCCTAATTGGACTAGCTTGTGTATGTGGAGATGAATGATGTATAGGTGGGCTAGCCACCCGAATGGGACTTGGTACCCTGAGTGGACTTGGTACCTTCACTGGACTGCCAGGACTATGTGGAGATAGACTAGATGAAATATTTGAAGGTCTGTGTTATAAAACCTTCTCATCATCTGTTATTCCTCTTAAATGCGGGAGAATCTGTTATTTCAAATTTTTATCGAATGTTAAACATAAAAACATATCAATTTTGCAGAGCTTTAAACGAAAAAATGTATTGAAGGTACCTCATGATCCTGAAGGTCATCAAATATACTATTTACATCTTTTTCATTGTACATAAAATTATCATCCCAACGAGTAAAACGTGGCCGGGATAGTTCATCCACCACCTCATGAATGATTGTATGTTCAAGAAACCAAATCTGCCAAGAGAAATCAATTTAACTTTGTTATAGCAATTGGATATTAGCTATGATCCTTTGAATAAAATAACAATACTCACAATTACAATCATGACGAAACCATTTACATAACCAAGTGCAGAACCCTTAGCTTGTTTAGAAGCAACATTGTTGAATTCATTTACTAGGAAACTCCTTATTGATTCTGGCCAGTTGTACGTTATAAAACTATCTACATTTTTGACAAGTTCCAGTATAGATGATGGAATGCGGAAGTTCGCCATTGGATAGAAAATGTTGGATAATAGGTATAGGACAAATCCTTTGACAAGATCGTCCATCTGGGTTGAATTATCCATCCTCTCAATGTCATGGCGAATGTCATTGGATGTTTTTCCAGTGGATCTAGCAGTACCAACCTCAAATATAATACCTCTATTTGGCAATCTTATGATTAATGCAACCTCATCAGATGTGAATTGTAGCCTATGTCCTTTAATAATAAAACTTTGAGTCTTCAAATCCCAATTCGTTAGCAGCATGTACATCAGTGGAACATTTTGAGGCATAAGAGGAAGCCTGAGGAATTGGCTAATTTGCAACTGATGCAGTCTTTCAACCAAAGGATCTCCAAATCTCTGAACAAGTTGATTACAAACTTCTCTATAAGACGAAGTTCGGCATTTGAAATGAATCTTCGGAGTATATCCCTGCATAACAGTTAGCGATTATTCAAAGCAATCGAATCAGAGTATTAGATCTTACATACTAAACACAATCGGTACCGAAATTAATAAAGGTAATAGCGATGAGTACCGACCAATACCGAGTGTATAAAACTGCCAAAATCGTTCGGTACTGATTTAATGTTTATGAAATAGTGCAATACCGAGCACTACCGAGCTGTACCGATCAACATACCGAGCTGTACCAAGTGTATAAAACTGCCAAAATCGCTCGGTACTGATTTAATGTTTATGAAACAGTGCAGTACCGAGCACTACCGAGCTGTACCGATCAATATACCGAGATGTACCGAGTGTATAAAACTGCCAAAATCTCTCGGTACTGATCGATACTGAGTTAATGTTTATGAAACAGTGCAGTACCGAGCTGTACCGATCAACATACCGAGCAGTACCGACTGTTTATAACTGCCCAAATCGCTCGGTACAGAGCAGTTCCGACTGTAAGGAACCCTAAACCCCATTTACAAAGAAAGAATAAGATCAGACATTGCTTATCAATGAAGGAACTAACCTGAGGCATTGTTTCTTCTCGAAAACTTCGATCTTGGAAGAAGAAGAATAGTTGCCGGAAATGCGGGGAGCTTCGAACTTGATAATGCCGAGAGCTTAGAACTTGTAAGAAGAAGAATAGTTGCCGGAAAATGTTCGTATAAACCCCATGCAAATGATGACGGAAGTGAAAGACGGTGATCTTTATTTGAAAATTAAACAAATATTTTGAGTCCGCTGGGATTTTCTTGGGTTCGCTTGCCGGCCCGTAAAATTCAAAAAACGCACGTGCCATTAACCCAATATTCGCTTGGTCGGGTCTGCAAAAACACGTCTGCTACGTGGCGCTTGATTAGCCTATGCCGAACGTAAAGTTGCGTCAGGTAACCTGAGGCAATAAAAATTCCAGTATTGGAGCCCACTAATATGTGCGTTCTTTAATCAGATAAAGTAATAGATCACTCAAATTCCTATTAATTGCCTAAGTTTGACCATCTGTTTGTGGGTGATAAGAAATTTAAATCATAAATATGTGTAACATTGAGGAGCTGGGATGAATAGAAAATGAGGAGTTGAAAACTTCGGGTTTAGTGACTGACATGAATTCACTTGATACCTTCTGAAATGTAGATCCGGGAAACAGAACAAAGGATGAACATGAGATAGGGAGAACCCGAGATGACGGAAATATTGTGTTTGAACTAGAAGATGAGAAGATGAGTTTCCTCTGCTGATAAATCGGTTTTCTCATGAAACTGACCTTGCTGGTAACAGTTGAGTTTCTGATCTATGTAGTAAATGTGTTGATTATGATCATGTTTTTAATGCAGTAAATAAGAAATTTGGATAGAAGTGTTGAGTGTTTTCTTATATGGCCACAGATTGTTCCATCCATAGTTTAGGAATAAAAGTAGTTCCCCTTGGTGTGGGATTCAGTTGAGATTTGGGAATAAGTATTTCTTTTTAGCTTTTTCTACAAAGTAGAAATGAGTTACTTTTTGGTGATTTTATTGATTATGAGTGCTATTGGGGCTTAACAAGTCATTCTTAAAGCATACTACTCTAAAATATATATCACAACAAGGAGGTATTATTGATAAAATTTGAGAGCTCATAAGCCGCTCCAAAGCAACCCTTCGGCGAAACCCTCCTGCCCCTATTGCAATTAACCATAGAAGTGTAGGCGGTCAATATTTGATCATTGTGTAATTTATAAAGCGTGTAGGCTGTTATTGTCATTTTTACCAATTACTGGCATAAATTGGTGAAATCTATTAGAAAATAAGTCAAGAATTTCAGCAGGACAATCAAATAAGAAGTATGAAAAGGTATATTTGAGAATTTTGGAGGACTAATTGTTTATCTATCTTCATTTTAGTTTCCATGATAGATAAGATAAAATCAGAAGGAATGTTTTGGTGCATGAGAAGCAATAAGAAATGATTCAAATTGAAAATTATCTTCTTTTGTTTTGAAATCATTGGCAATCCATCCATTGATGCATGCATACTGATGCTACTATCCATGCTTCCATTTTATTGATTACACATATTTGGCTTTCTTGTTTAAGGTTAGTATTTGTAGTATAGTTGAGCACTTTTGTTATAGAACACATTCTAAATTTATTACTATTCAAAAGGTTTTCTTGATGGCTTCAGGTGCTAATTCACATGTCCCTGCAAAGAACGTTACGAAACTAAATAAGGCAGAAGTTCAAGGTACTAAAATTTTGCCACTTCAAACCTCCCTATTTCTGGTTAGAAAATAGTTCTGAGATTCTGATGGCCGTGTCTGGTATAAAAGGTTTTAACTGTTGTCTCTAATTTTGCTCTAACAGCTAGGCTTAGGTATAGCTCATGTGACCGGATCTAGTCAAAAGTATTTCTATGAGCGTCATTCTCACCAATTGTTTTGCTGTTGTAATTTGTAATTTCACTATCTATTGCTACCATTCTGTTATCAAAATGAGAAAAAAATTTCAAACCATTTCATTATTTTTAATTCCTTTTGTAAGTTTTATTTCACACAACTATGGACAATGGCTTTAACAGTTAGGCTTAGGTATAGCATTGTGACTGGATATTGTCAACAGTACTTGTTTGAGCTTCATTCTCATTAATTGTTTTGCTGTTATAATTTGTAATCTCACTAAACTATTTGATTTTAATTTTGTTATCAAAATGAGAAAATACCTTAAAGCATTTTATTATTATTTTTTATTCCGTTTATAAGTCTTATTTCAACACAACTATATATGGACAGTTACTCTAACAGCTAGGCTTAGGTTTAGCTCATGCAACTGGATCTTGTCAAAAGTACTTCTATGAGCTTCATTCTCACTAAATGTTAAGCTATGGTAATTTGTAGTTTCACTAATCTATTCGATTCTATTTTGTTATCAAAATGGGAAAGCATTTCATTATTTTTTAGTCCTTTGTTAGTATTGTTTCAACGCAACTATGGACAATAGTATGAGATTAATTTTTTTTCAGTGTTCCCAGATCTAAGCCTAAATCTCTCTTGTATGACATTTTGTTTTGAGGTCAATGCACATGGAGGCTTATTTCATTATTCCTGGTTTATGATAATGAAAATGCTTTCTTATTGACCTTAGGTGGCATTCAGAGTCTTAAAACAAGCGTTATAGACGCTACAAAACAGATAATTTTTGAAGACAAACGTGAAGGTTCTTGGATTTAATTTTACTCGAACCTTACATTTACTCTAGCTCTATTACAAATTTTTAATTTGATGATGCTATTAATATTTGCTTAATGCTTTAGATGTTCCAAGAATTTCACTTGGAGATGCAGCCAATCCTGATTCGATAATTACCGAAGAAAAACATGAAGGTTGTTAATTTTACATTTACTCAAATCTGTCTTGTTTTGCTACTATTCTGAATTGCAGCAGTATCTTTCATAATGGGTTAGATGCTGATCCAAACTCATCGCTAATGGATGCCACCAATTCTGACAAGAGAATTGCCGAAGAAAAAATAGAAGGTTCTAATTTTTATTACTTATGTTTTTTTTTTTTTTCTGTTTCTAATGATGCAATGCTTCGTGTAACAGGTGAAAAAGCTTTCACTAGTTTCCTTCAAAAGCCTTGCTTAAAGAAAACCTTTTGCATATTGCAGGACGTGGCATTACTTAACGATCTTGCCCACTATCCTATTCTTGATCTGATTGTGCATCTTGCATGCTCCACTTATATTTACTAGTGTACCCTTTAAATACCCATTGGTTTGTTAGTTTTTTGTTATTTTTAAATAAATCATGTTATAAGAAATGCTAACTTATTTTGTTAAAGTAATTAACCCACCTTTATTCAGCCATAATTGGTCATTATGACCATTGTTGTGAGGTCTAGACCAGACATTGAACAAGAAAAATGAGAGGTTTAAGGTTTAATGGTTTGGTCGGGGTTGAACCAGGATTTGAATCAGATGATGTAATTAATATTAAAATTATTTGAATAAAAAATTGATGTAATAAGAATGTAATAATTAAGTAATAATATGAATTTGTAATTAAAAAAATTTTAGTTAATATATAGCCGGCAATGAAGAAACGACAGTAGGAAAAAAAAACTCTGAATTTCGGCAACGACAATAAAGTCTCTAATACCATGTTAAAATAATTGGAGAGCAAAAATGCTTTAGTTTATTTTCCAAAACTATCTCTATTTATAGATCTATACAAGATATTTTAATAAAGAAATAAGTAATTATAGAATCATACATAATCCTTCCTAAATCAGCCACCAAATATGGAAGGATATTGGCATGATCCAGGTGAGCCTCCCACGGATCCCCATGCTGGCCGTGGGATCAAGTGTTAAGAGATGATGAGATTTAACACTCCCACAAATCCTCATGCTGGTTGTGAGATCAAGAGCCAATGGATGACTAGAATTTAACAGTGGACAATCTTGGATGTAGTTGATGTAGGCAGCTTTACCCTGCATCATGGAGTTGGTTTTATTGGAGTTCATGACATCAGTGAAAGCATCCTTGGTCATTGCTTTAGGCCTCCCTTCTATGTTCACCTTTAAAATGCAGGACCGGATTAGTAAATATAGAAGAAGTACATGGATACTGATTGGCTTGGGGCCATCAACCAAACCGGTTTTGCTCCATGCTCCAACTCACTCTGGTGGTAGACTGCCATCTGTTGGAACGCTTAACCAGCGACAAGGCAATGAATATGGGAGCGTGACAGGACTATGAGACGCAGCGCAGTCTAGATATCTGAGTCAGAAATTTGGAGATGACTTTGATGGAGACCAGCCAGGCCAAGGGAACCTGTTACACCCTTAACTACCCATTTGAAGAAAAAAAGACTTTTTTTTCTTTTCATTTAAGCTGGACTATGTAATCCATCCTATGGTTTTGTTGTAGTTAAAGTCACATTTGTTGATTGGGATAAAAGGCTTGCTCAAAAGAAGCATCTCCCAATCCAATCAATGGGAGAAAAAACTGAACAGCCACCATTTCATTTGGATTTATTTATGATATCCCACTTGCATTGAAATGTTCTTCTAAATTCAACTATTGCATTTACTTCGACGTTGCTGGTAACCACTGCCTCCATTTTTGAACTTGGAGCAAAAAATATCTGATATTACTTCGACCCCTTTGGTTGCAGGATGTGATAGCAGTGCTATAAAAGTGAATGTTGATACGGTAGTCATTGAGATTGATGATGAAGTGGAAGCTAATGGAAAGGGTTCTGATGATGTTCATATCATTGACCTGGATGTAGCTTCTGAAAACCCAGTTGTAGAGAACGCAGGAAGTCTCGAGAAGATTTGGAATTACTTGGATCCCTCTGGTAATGTTCAGGGGCCTTTCTCCATAAGAACTCTCGAGTATTGGATGGAAGAAGGCTTCTTTGATGAGGATTTCAGGATATGGAAAGATTCACAATCTCAAGAGAATGCCATTCCATTGGGTGTTGCTCTTGCTTTATTGCAATAGCCATTGTAGAGGATGCCAATGGAAAATATGGCTCAGCAAATTAGCTATGGACATTATGGATTTTGAGTTGAGAAAATTTTTTTCCTCCATAGCAGGTATGTGGCTTTGTCTCTCATGTACAGTCAAGTTTCTAGTTTTCAGCTATTCATAAGCGGCTGCTGGTTAATGCCGATCACATGCTTCTACTCCTGCAAATGTGTCCATTGGTTCTGCTCTTAAATGCAGGGCCTAATACATTTGACTTATTTTGCTGTTGAATGCTTCAAATGTATTTCATATATTTATTTATGATAAAGTAAGCACAATGTAATTTATAGATTTATACGCATGGTAGGAGCTGGAGAATTCTTTCATGTTGCATATTCAAGTCTTTATAACAATTCAGCTAAAGGTTTTTTTTTTTTTTTTGATAGTTAAATGAATGTTGGTTTTTGTCAATAGCGTTATTTTGTATCTTAAACAAATGTTGTGCAGCAGGTAGATATTTGCTTAGTTTGGGATAGTTTTTTATTGTTTTTTAAAATAATTTTTAAGTACAAAAATTTGTAATTGAGAATTTTTTTGTATTAAAAAATTGTTTTAAAAGGCAGCAAAAAAATTGTCTCAAAGTCAAACAAAGCCATTGACAAACTCTTCAAGCTGAGGTTTGATCTGATTTCCTCTTAATGTTTTTTTTTCTCCATCTCTCCTAATTTAGGATAATTTTAGCCCAATGTTTTTTGTAATTTTATGATTTGGAGAGATTGTTATTCCAAGGAATATGATTTGTACTACAAAGTTCTCATTCTTTTAAGGCATGAATATGTAGCAGATCTTGAGAGTTTTAACAGTTGGCTAGCTCGATCTTATTTCTCTGTTGTGATAGTTAAATGAATGTTTTTTTTGTCAATAGCGTTATTTTGTATCTTAAACAAATGTTGTGCAGCAGGCAGATATTTGCTTAGTTTGAGATAGTTTTTTAATTATTTTTTAAAATGATTTTTTGAGTAAAAAAATTTGTAATTCAAGAATTTTTTTGTATTAAAAAGTTGTTTTACAAAAAAATTGTCTCAAACAAATCCATTGTCAAACTCTTCAAGCTGAGGTTAGATCTGATTTCCTCTGAATGTTTTTTTTCTCCATCTCTCCTAATTTTAGCCCAATGTTTTTGTAATTTTATGATTTGGAGAGATTGTTATTCCAAGGAATATGATTTGTACTACAAAGTTCTCATTCTTTTAAGGCATGAATATGTAGCAGATCTTGAGAGTTTTAACAGTTGGCTAGCTCGATCTTATTTCTCATTTAGAAAACTCTAAAAGTTGGATAAGAATCCAAGTAAAGATTAATGCATTCGATTTTTGGGAATAGGCTTAGAAAATTTTTATGCCAACAGAATCATACCAATCTCAAATAAATTAATATGGATGCAACATTTTTATATGACCAAAGTTTATATTGAAAAAAACCATATTCACCAAATGAAAATCAGAATAATAAATGTTTTATTTTATTGTGAAACTGTATATATACACTTTTATAATAGAAAGATTATGTTTAGCAGACAGGCTTAACCACAAAATAGAACGTTTCATTTAAGGTTATTTTTTTCATAATTTTTTATTTTTTTTTCATAATTTGAATGTAGCTTTCTTTTGAATGCAGTTTTCTTTATAATTATGAGAAGTTTTTTTATAAGGCTTCATCTTTGAACATTATTTTTTTGCTATTTTCAAATAACTCTTATAAAAAAATTAATAAAAAAAATTATCCCAAATGAAAGCTTCGTTTGGAACAACTTGTTTTTTTTTTTTTTTTTATTTGAAAAGCAATTTTTTTAGTAAAAAAAATTATACCTTATTATAAAACCCTTAGAACTCATCAGCAACTTTCATATGAAAAAGGTAATGAAAATCCATATGATGTCTTGGCCAACAATAAATCGAGGAAGTTAAATGTTAAACTGAAACAAATTAGGCATACAGAACAGCAGAATCTTAAGCCAAAGCCTTTACATAGGATCACTGCATATACAACTAATGGTGTTTATGAAGGAATAAAAACAAACCAAAAAAAGGAAAAATAAATCTGGCATTTGCCATTCTGAAGGGTTTGGGTTTGCCCATCCACGCATTATCCCTAATTACTTTGCATCATAGATTTACGGCTCGGTAATTTAAAGAAACCGAGACATCGATCGTCAAGCAAACCTCCATGAGCACCACACAGTTAGGGTTTAGAATAACTGAAATAGACCTGACAGGTTAAGAAATAAGATCTGCAATCAGCATTAAAAAAATAAAAAAAGATCAACAATCATCAAGCAGGGAAAAGGTTAGACAAGAAATACCAATAGTTGAATCATAATTAGAGAAGCAAATTGTCTGTTCACTTGTGTTTTAGACATTAAAATTGATGGCATGGGGTACAAATCAAAAGAAGTGAAACAGTAGAGGGATTATTGATTGCAAGCCACAAATGAGTGATTTGAAACTATAAATGGTGAAAATTTGACTGATCAAGACCACTACAAGAAGGAAAGTGATGAAGACACCTTGTACAGGGAAAAATTTTGTGGTAGTACAGTATGTATTTCACACCTGAGGATCGAAACATATTGCAAGCACCTCTTTCACATTAATTCCCAAATACTTAGGCTTCGTTTGAGACAGCTTTAAGAAGCAGAAAGAAAGCTTGTCCCAAACGCAGCCTTAAGCTTATGGCATACTCGACAAGATGGCCTAGGAAGCCATCTTGAAAACTGGTTTGGGGAGCAAATACCACTAGATCTAGAGAAGCAGATGAATAAAAGACGATCATCAAGATGAAGAACAATCTTTATGATTAGTTGTATAAACCTTTTGGTCTAAAAACCACTCCCAATAATTTAATGCAAGTAATGACTCGGCATGCACTCATTCATCGAGAAATTCCGACTATACTTCAATGATATCCTAATTTTTAGTCAACCTAGGGGTGTCCAACCCAACCTAATGATGAGTGTTCGAAATTCTCAACTAAGAGAAGTAGTGCATCCACTGGAAAAAAAAAATCCTCGACCTCTAAAATTTTTTAAGATTCCTCGTCTCTAATGAATGTGAAAAAATTCGATCAATTAAGGTTTGACATGTACCAACCAGCACTGATGAAGTTCTCAACTTCTATGGATTGGCAATATTTTGCAAGCAATGCATTCATGGTTTAAGAACAATTATGTCCCTAGCAACCAAATGCTTAAAAAAAGATAAATTTAAATGGACTGCTATCACATCAAGAGCATTACTCAAAATAAAGGATCTCTTGACTAGCTCGCTTGTATTGAAATTGCCTGATTTCAGCAAAATTTTCTAACGTATCCTATGATTTATCAAGAGTAAACATGTTGGCGTCCTCAAGCAAGATGGCCATCCAGTACCATACTTCAATGAGAAATTTAATAATAGATGATAATGTTAATTAAGATATGATCACGAATTGAGTAGCATTAGAAGAAGTGAAATGAGCAAAGAATTCTCAATTATAGTAGAATAACATCAATGATCCATAAAAACTAATCAATTTTCATTAGTTATGAAAATTGAGATACCTTAGGGAATACTTCTTGTAAATAACACATTTAAGGGGGTAAATAAATCAAGCCAAACTCGAGCTGCCCTCAATTTGAGCTTGAGATTGATTGCTTAATTGAGGCTGAGGTCAAACTCGAGCTTAATGCAAGTAATGACTCACCATGCACACATTCATTGAGAAATTCCTAGTATACTTCAATGACATCCTAATTTTTAGTCATCTTACGGATGCCCGCACCCAACCTAATGATGCGTGTTCGAAATTATCAACTAAGAAATGTTGTGCATCCCCCAAAAAAAAAAAAATCCTCCATGACCTCTATAATTTTCTTAAGATTCCTTGTGTCTAATGAATATGCGAATATTTGATCAATTCAGGTTTGGCGTGTGCTATAGTTTCTCAAGAAACTAGCCTTCTTCGACTGTTATGCCAGTGGCCAGATGATGAAGCTATAGCTTCTCATGAACCTCATGTAATAGCCCCTCAGCCCTAAAAATCCCCTCAGCTCCCTGAGATTCTTTAGAAGTTGCCATCTAATTGGCAGCCACACCCTCCTGAGATATTATATGTCTCAAGTACTCCACCCTGGCCTATAAAAAGCAACATTTCTTCAAATTGGCCCTCAACTGCTACTCCTGTAACATCTCTAGAATTGTCATCAAATACTCCAAATGTTCCTCATCTGACCTGTTGTACATAAGGATATCATCAAGAAAGACCAGCACAAATCTCCTGAGATTGGGTCAGAACACCCTGTTCATGATGGACTGGAAGGTGGCTGGGGCATTAGTGAGGCTAAAAGGCATCACCATAAACTCATAATGTCCCTCATGTGTTCTGAAAGCAGTCTTTGACACGTCCTCTTTCATTCGGATCTAATGGTACCCTGACTTCATATCTATCTTGGTGAAGATAACTGTCCCACTCAGCTCATCTGTCACTGTGATGGAAAACTTGTCTAGCATAGTTTTCTTATTCACAGCCCTGTAGCACACGCAGAACCTCCAACTCCCATTCTTTTTCTTAACCAACTGGACTAGAAAAATGGCTCATACTAGGCATGATAATCCTTGCCTCCAACATTTCTCTGATCAATTTATTGATTTCATCCTTCTAAAGTTGAGGGTAATGGTATGGCCTTACTCTGATGGGTGACATCTCTTCCCTCAGGGTGATAGCGTGCTCCTGCTCCCTAAGTGATGGCAATCCTTAAGGTGATGGAAAGATCTCACTGAACAGCTGAATCAATGGTTGTACTGAAGAAGGAATGTCTCCACCCTTCTCCAATATGATCCCCTCTAGCCTCTGTAGCTCCCCCATCTCTTGTATGCTCCTCGTCATGATTTTAAGTGACATCATGGCTTTGGATAGCCCCGCATCTCCCGTGATCACTACACTTCTACCCTCCACCATCAACTCTATCGTCAATGCTCCCCAGTTGACCTTGGAATTCTCCAAGGCCTGCAACCACTTCATGTAACAACACAAACTCTTAACTATCGAGATATTGTGCGCTTTGACATAAAAGCCTCACGATTTTGTCCTATTAGTGTAACTTCCCAATAGGTCACCCATCCTAAAATTGCTTCGAGATGAGCACGCTTAACTGCGAAGTTTCTTATAGCAATTTCAACCATTACACCAAAATGTCCCTCGATGTTTACGAGTTTTACTTCTTTTACTTAAGAGGTTTCACAATCTCCCCCACTTTCCTCGTCGGCATCGTTATCTCAGAATCATCCACTAGGCAGATAGAATTCTAGAGGTGAACCCTACAATTTCAAGTGGTGGCTCCATCATGTAGCACTTTGTTTCATACAAGGTTTAAGAGGTGGCTCTCATGACACAACATTTTGTCTTATATGACACTTAGTTCTCATCTTCCGGCTGGTGTATTGCTCAGATACCATTTATGATGCCCTAGAATCTAATTCTTCCTAATTAGATTTTGGGGCATCACAGTTAATCCCAAAGATGACATCAGTGCTTCCTAACTCCAATGGGAGAAAATCCTCCCTCACCTACACCCCCTGTATGATCAACACTATTTCCCTACATATCCCACGGCCAATCTTTACCTTCCGTATACCCATCATCACTCCATAGCACCATGTATCCACCAATGTCACCCCCAATTGGTCCACAATCTATTTGGAGATAAAATTGTGGGTCACCCCATTGTCAATCAACACCACCACCTCCCTGTCTATTATTTCCCCATTCAGTTTCATGGTATGACTCAGAGTGAATCATACAACTAAGTTCAGGGAGACCTCTGTCACATATATATGCAACTTATCCTCCTCTACCCCTGTCTCTCCCACCTCCCTCAATTTTCTCGTCATCACAGACGGTAAGAACCTGAATAGCTCGGTTCTTGCAACGTGTCATAGAGTATGCTTCTCATCACATCATAAGCATAAGCCCTTTGCCCTCTTCTCCTACATCTCTCTCTCAATCAGCCTTTAGAAGTCCCCCCCCCCTTCCTCCTACAGGCTTCTCCCTTGGGATCTCACGAAGGTTGCTCGGTGTCGGACCCTTAGGTGCTAAGAGAGTGATAGTCATCCTGTACGAGCCACCTGAACTGTCGCCTCTGGCTCCCTTCTCCTAGTGCTTCTGATCCTCAACCAACTAAGATAACTCCATAGCCTCTCCCAAGTCACGAGATCTCATGATTGACACTGTTGCCCAGATCACTGATTTGAGCCCCTTTATGAAATTTTCCTCCAGAACAGTCTCAGATAGTCAATCCAGTCGACTCGTCGGGTACTCAAATCTCTCGTGATATTCTTCCATTGATCCTTCCTGTACTAGGAAAAGTACTCATAGAAATCCCCTCCCCTACTTGTTTGGAAACATTCTAGTAAGCAATCTTTGAATTCCCTCCAACTCCGTATGGGTCATCTCATGTTTCTCCACTGGTACCAAGCCAAGGCCTCCCCTTCCAAATATAGGCCAACTGCCGTCAATTTTTTCTCTTCTATCAACCCATTAACAGCAAAGTATCTCTCTACCTAGTAAATCCACCCATGTGCATCCTCCCCTTCAAATATGGGCATATTCAATTTTTGAACCTTCGGATCTCCCCCATTTCCCCTGAATCCTCCATAATTTTCCCTTCCCCAAGTGAATGACCCTCCCCAAGTGTATCGATCCTCCCTTTTGTGTTCATACCCAAACCCTTCTTCCGTCAAAATCACCACCTCTCTGACCATAATCCCCCTCTTTTCTTTTCCAATCAGCACCCCTTTGCTCGTACCCCACATATCCACGCCTCTCCCCATACCTACTACCTCTCTCCTCCCTCTGGAAAGGCTCTAGATGGGGGTCTTCTCCCCTCTCCATCCACGCTACGCATCATTTTCATTCCTACGAATTTCAGAATTTGTATTTCTCCCTACCGTCCCCTCTTACCTCTGATGCCGCCATTTGGTTTTGATGATCTCATATTTTCTTCGCCATCTCCTGAAGACCTAAGAACTTGGCTTCTATGGAGGAAATTATATCCTCCACCGTTGCTTTGATTTGGCACATCTTCCCCTTAAGCCGTTCTTCCAACACATCCACATTCTTGGCCGCCATCGATATCTGGATTTTTGTTAGACTCAAAATCTAGATCTCGACCCCAAAAACAACAAAACAAACCACGTTTCAGACACATTTTGTTGCAGGAATTCACCAAAGTA